TCACATTCTTCAGGACGAGGACGAGGACTTTACCGCGTATCATTTCCAGGGCGAAGGCGACTAAGTGCCTACGGAGGGATGATTGTCAGGGCTATCTAGTCACTATACTCGCGGAACCTTCGGAGGAGCGCATGCCCGGAGATGTACCCATAGTGAGAGATTTCATGGACGTTTTTCCAGATCAGCTACCGGGAGGACCACCTAGCCGTCAGGTGGAGTTCACGATTGACCTGTTGCCTGGAGCTGGGCCAGTGTCGAAAGCGCCGTATCGTATGGCGCTGAAAGAGCTTCAGGAGTTGAAGGCTCAGATTCAGGAGTTGTTGGGTCTCGGCTTCATCCGGCCGAGCGTTTCACCTTGGGGAGCACCTGTCCTCTTTGTGAAGAAGAAGGACGGGACACTACGCATGTGCATCGACTACCGGGACTTGAACCGGTTGACGGTGAAGAACAAGTATCCACTCCCCAGGATAGAGGACTTATTCGACCAGCTGAGAGGTGCCCGTGTGTTTTTCCGGATAGATCTTTGTTTGGGTTACCATCAGTTGAGGATTCGGGAGTCTGACGTGGCGAAGACCGCGTTTCGTACCCGATACGGTCACTATGAGTTTGTCGTGATGCCGTTCAGCTTGACCAATGCACCGGCAGTATTCATGGATCTCATGAACCGTGTCTTCCACCCATGCTTGGACCAGTTTGTCATCGTCTTCATAGATGATATTTTGGTCTACTCGAGGAGCACAGCCCAGCACGAGGAGCATTTGAGGATCGTGTTGGAGACTCTTAGGCGGGAGAGACTGTACGCCAAGTTCTCGAAGTGCGAGTTTTGGCTCGATCGAGTGGCATTCCTCGGTCACATTGTTACGGCCGAGGGCATTGAGGTCGATCCCGGGAAGATCGAGGCAGTGAGGAACTGGTCAGCACCTAGGTCTGTTACCGAGATACGGAGTTTTCTCGGGTTAGCAGGCTACTACAGGAGGTTCATTGAGGGGTTTTCAAAGATAGCCCTACCCTTGACACGATTGACGAGGAAAGGGACTAGGTTCGATTGGAGTAGCCGTTGTGAGTCGAGCTTTCAGGAGCTCAAGAGGAGGTTGACTACGGCACCCGTGCTGACTATTCCGGACCCTA